TTGGGCGAATCAGCACCTGCAGAGGTACATGTTTGGTGGAGCACGCGCTCCTCCCTAGTCTCCCCATTTGCGCCAAATACATTCATCCGCCTAGCCACTGACCAAGGAGAAGAGGAAAGCAGGAAGGCACAATGTGACCAAGTGGAAAAAAAAGAGGGAAGGCTCTCCGGACTACTAGTACGTGCAATAGGGGCAACGGAAAGAGTGAGGGACGAGAAAAAAAAAGCGTAACTTTGGTGGTACATGTTACTTCTGCAACGCCACGCTGATCCGGCTTTGTACCCGCTGAGTGCCATGCCCCATCCGAGGATTTTTTTTTTCCCCTCATCCTGACTCTTTGAATGTTGAACATCATGGCCCAGACACCCGGCCCTGCCGCCCTTGGTACTAGCCGCCATTCACGCAGGCTGCAGAGCAGGGTGGCCTCTGTGGCTCCTTTGAATATTTTTTTTTTTTCTGGGACTGGCACGTATCCGTGAACCCAGCCCGCTGGCTCAAGTGATGTGTCTGGATTGGCCCTGGTCTGATAATTTGACATGCTGTGCATTGCATGTACATCGAATGTATGGAGGCAGTAGGGTGCCACAGCCCCAGTGTTCATTACGGGACGCCCACACGCTACAACACAACAAAACACAACGCCCACACCACACCACACCACACCAACCACACACCAACCACACACCACCCACCACCCACCACCTTGCACCTACAAGCTCCTGCCTCCCAGGTGCCAAACTGGAGCATGAGCAGCCTGGCCATTCAATCTATGTTCTATCTATTATGCGCCACCACACCAGCCGTCCACACTTTTTCACGCCCCATCCATTATCCTTTCTTCTTCTTCTTTTCGACCTCTCTTTCTCTCTCTATCCTTCTCCCTTTCCTCTACTTCCGTTCTCACTCCTCCACGACACACCGAATCCGCCGATTCTTCGACAACCTCGTCACGAACCCCGTCACCGTTCGTTGACTCTCGGATTCAGGTCTTTCGCGCGAGTCTCTCCCGCCGCCTTCTTCAACCTGCTCAGGCTTCTTGTGTTGGCTGCTCTGTTGGGAACTCTACGGTGTGTGTTGTGGCCAGTTTGCTCTCGGCCGCCCCCGACAATCCGACAACCCCCCAGGGTTCCGCAGCATTACTCTCTCTACCTATTCGAAGCCTTGCTCGGTTTGAGGTGAGTTTCGATGCAAAAAAAGACGCTGCTGCATTGGTGTCGGTCAGCCTCTACGCTGTGTGTTGTGTTGGTGTTGCTTGGTTTGGGTATTGAATTATGGACTTGGAACGAGAGTGACCTGCGTGACCACTTTCGTTTCTAGCTCATACGGGTCGAAGAGCTAAGCATCTACTGTGTGCTGTATTGATCAAATAGACGGGTTGTTGGGAACCCGGATCAACGGCTCTCGCGCCTCATGTCCAAACTTCAACCAACTTCAAAGCGCACATCCCGAACCTTCTCAGGTCAATGTTAAAAAAACATTGAGCACGAACACGTTTCTTACTGACCATTTACCCAGGTTGCTTCCCACTCTGCTCCTCGCTTCCCTCGCTTTGAGTCGTGTTGGGTGCTACGGTGGACAAGAGTTCGATCTCCTTTGCACCACTCGAACATTGCGATTCCCTTAGTCGTTTGATCCGAGTTCCGCCAGCAAACATCATTTTCAACGCGTCTTTTCTCGACCATCTTTCCAGCATAAACGTCTAGGCTACATTGTCACATAATACGGCAATAGAGAATAGGCATTAAATGGCTTACCGGTCCTGAAACAGAATCATCTGGTTTCTTTCCTCCCTTTTCCTCCCCTTTCTTTTTTCAACGTTATTTTGTTCCCGACGACTTGTCATTTGGGAGACGTCATCATCCTTTGTCGCGTCTCTTGTCGACAAGCTCAATCTTCCGACCAAGGTCACTGCTGATCTTAGTCGGATTCTCATCTCAACACCTTCATCATGCCAGGTGGCGTATGTGCCGTCCTCGATTACGAGGTCGACATGATGGCAGAATACGTTAGTGAAATGGCTGTGCGTGTTGTCACTCCTGATGCTACAGTCACTCCGGGTTTTCGCAAGTTTGTCACCCAAATTCTCACTTCAACACGACTTCCTAGCACCACGATTCTGCTGGGCATGAACTATCTTGCCAAGCGGATCAACGCCATTAAAGGGCAGGGTCCTTACAACAAGGTGTCCGAAGGCCAAGTGTGGCGATACTTGACTGTCTCGCTCCTCTTGGGCAGCAAGTTTCTTGACGATAACACGTTCCAGAATCGATCCTGGTCCGAAGTCAGTGGTATTTCAGTGACAGAACTGAATAGTTTGGAGTTTGAGTGGGTTCAGGCCATGGGCTGGAGACTATATGTCAATCTTGACCTCAGCAAGGATTATCAGGCTTGGCTTGACAACTGGCGCGAGTGGCAACAGATGAAGAAGCGACAGGCAGTCCAGGCAAACCGTGAACGACTTGCCTCTCTCGTACCTGCTATCGACACGGAGCTTGTAAGATATAACAGCAACCGCCAATCGCCGCATTCGCGCTATGTGCAAGAGCAGGTTGCTGAGTTCGATCGTTATCAGGCCATCAAGGCCCAACAGCAGACGTACCGCTCCCGCGATGCTCCTTGGGCTCATAACCCATGGAATGCCCCTTTGACGCCACCAGACTCTGGATACGGCACTCCTGAGTATGTCCTGTCCGCTACGTCTAGCAATGCTCGCTATAACGAGTGGTTCGCTCAGGCCGCTGCACAGTACAGCAGTCGGTATCCTCAACCACCTACCCACAGCTCGTTGTACCAGCATCGCCAGACCCCCTTTAACTCTCACTACTCCTATAATCACGGCGGGTGGGACCATGAGATTGGCGAATGCAGCTGCCCTGGATGTGTTGGTCCAATGAAGCAAACTCCTTACTTTATGTCCCACGGATATGGCCAACAGGTGGTAGGCTGATGCGAAAACAACAAACAACAATTTCGGTTTTTATTTACTGGATCCTCTGAAGAGGCAGTAATGCTTCCATTTTCCTCGCAACCAAGAATTGCTAGAGGGGCTTCAGATGTCGAAGAAGTTTTTGTAATGGCTACGAATTTTCTATGCGTTTCTTAAAAACGACTTTTTTCTCCAGATACCCCGGCATGACAAAAAACGCAAAAAGGTTTCACGCGATCAGCTTGTGGTATTTTTTTTCTTCTATGGCTTGTCTTTTATTGGGATGATTGCTGGCTATCGAAACTCGACCCATGTATGACGACCTTCGCTACGAACTGTATCAAATTGGACGTATGCGCTTGGGCCTCGAAGTGGAATTTAATCGAGTTGTATGCGGCGATTCAAATTATTATTCCTTGGTCACGTTATTAATCGGCACGTTGCGGCGTTTTGGCTTTGACACTACGGAACAGGGCTTCGATCCCCTATAGAATCTACATTTACACGGCCATCATAGGTGTTTTGCGACTTGCGATTTTGGTTGCGGGAAGTCTTTTACTTCCCCATGGTACCATACTTGGCCACGACAGCTCAGAGCAATGCGATTGACATTCGTCAGTTGCTTTGTTTTCAGCAGCATCATCGTCTGATATTCTATGTTTAAACCAGATGATAATTTGGGTGGTTTAGACGGCATCCAAGTGGCATGGGATTGTCATTGTTGGGATAGCGGTCGCTGGCAGGGTTTTTTTCTATTCTTTTTTTAACGACACCTCAGGACATGCTTGTCCCCAGAAAACTGGCTTCTGAAGTCGACGACACGATTTTGCCTCTGCGCTGGCGTCAAATTACAACGCAACCGTGACGGTGTTGTTACACTTTTACCAGCCGATGGACGCTGTCATGATGCAGTATAGAGACAATAAAAGTTTGGGAATAGTATCTCATTGCATTATGCCTTTCGACTATGGGGGCCAACTGGGATGACAAGGCGGACAAGATTATTTTGGGATTTTTTTTTTTCGCTCATGAGACGGTTATGCATTGCTTTCAGCGGGTAAAACGGGCTTTGGGCAGGTTGTTTAGTCCATATCGTTGCGCTTTTGGGGCTCTTTTTTTCTTTTTGACCTCTTTTCCCTCTATCTCATTCGATTCTTCCGCCAAGCTTGGTGAATAGCCCGCCATATGCCTCTTGGCCTGGCTAAATTGGCATAACACAGCTTCGGTGGTTCTCTTTTTCAAACGATATTAGAATTTTTTTTTTACCTGTCCTGTCATGGGCTGGCATTTCAGTAGAGACGCACTGGATTATATTTCTCGGATTAGGAGTTTTGTGCGTCCAGTTTTAATGACGAATTTGCTCGGTGCAGGGACATGTACTCATGTACCCTCATCAGTTGGATTTTGATTCATGACTTGAAGAGCGTTCTCGTTTTTCTGTGGGCGAGGCAGTGTTGCCCTGGTACTTGGGCGGCTTTTGCCACATAGAGTCATTCGCTTTGCGGAACATGAGCTGGGAGCTGCTCAGGCATGTCTTTATAGGAGTTTACAAATGGTGGTTGGCAGACTAGGACCTGGTGATGGGCCTGGCAACAATTGCGGTATTCTGACCACTGGGTACCTGAGAGAGGCGTCATGCGAGAGCCGCACCTGCCGGTACCATTAGACGCCAACCTGATGAATAGCTTTAAAAAAACATTGAAATGGCTGCGAATATCGATCCGTATCATTTGGTGCATGTGAACCGAGCAGAGCGAGACTGGTGTTGTTTGTCGAGAAGTTGTCGGCTGATTCTCGGAATTGTATGTAAACTTGACAACGGGGGAGCCCCAATGCTTCTTGATAGAATATATTCCAACTCTCAATTGCACAAGACACTCCTATAAAAGCAACCAACAATCTCAAATTGTGAAGGAATTGATTAAGTATAACAAGAGCTCTTCCCATACCAGTTTGATGACGTTCATCTATCTACCTGTGGTCACCTGGCCTCACAACTAACCTCATCCACCCTCATCCACCTCTCTTACCTGCCCCCCCCGGGCCAATCTTTAACTCCGTATCATCGACCATTATGTCAAACCGGTTCGTATCAGGCGGGACAATAAACACTTGTTCCGACCCTGAAGCAAAGGAAGCCGTGCCCCGTGCACAGTTAGCCAAGAGCACAGAATGGGAAGCCGTGCAGCAGGAACTGGAGAACGACCGAAAGAGCAGAGAGGAGCAGAGGCTGAAGGCTGCAGCGGGGGAAGAGAGAAGCCTATACGACGTGTTGCAAGCCAACAAAGGTGGGTATCCTTGTATTTTGCTCCTTTTCGTCGCCGTCTCTGCCTGGGGAGCATTGGGCGGGCTAATGTTGCACCCTGGCCCCAGCTGCCAAACAGGCTGCTTTCGAGGAACAGAACAAGATTCGGAACCAGTTTCGGGCTCTGGATGACGACGAGATTGAGTTTCTGGACGAGGTTGTCGCCGCGAAGAGGAAGGAGGAGGAGAGGGTGAGGCGGGAGACGGAGGACGGGGTGAGGGCGTATCGGGACCTGCAGAGGCGGAGTAGCGGCGGGGAGGCGGTGGGCGAGGGGCACGACGAGGGGGACGATTGGGGTGTTGGGAGGAAGAGGAAGAGGAAGAGGAGGGACAGGGAGAAGGCGGTGGTGAAGAGGAAGGCGGACGGGGGACAGAGGCCGGCCGAGAGTCCGAGTCGGGACGTGAAGCCTGCTGGTGGGAATGTAGAGACGGACAAGAAGACGCCGGTTGAGGGGCCGGCGAAGAAGGGCGCACTGGTGGACTACGGCTCAGACAGCGATGAATAGTAGTACGTTGGAGCTACTCGCAGTGATGGGGACAGCAAGTGAAGTTATTCAATGGTATTGAGTAGGTGATGCCATGGCCCGTCTGGCTGCTTTGTCTGCGCGCCCCCCCCCCCCCCCTTCCCCT